GTCTGCAGCTTCCTTCTCCTCGACAAGATTCTCCATTTTGGCTTTATTTTCGTTTAAGACTTGCTCGCACCTTGTTGAGATGCATTTGTACATGAATTGATCAAATGTCTGCAAAGCTCTACTTAGTTTCTTCTCTTCTCCGATTTGAAGCCATTTTTGAAACTTCCAGTAAAACTCCGGCACGATGTGCCGGTAGAATATTGCCTCCTCCATGATATCGAAAGCTTTTGCATGTGCAACCTCAGGAAATTCAATCGTGAGACAATTTGGATCGAAACCCAAAACAGACATGCAGTTACTATCATACATGAACCGCTGAATCACATCTTGCATGTCTATTATCTCCGACATTTCTTTTCTGGAGACATGATCCAGGATTGGAAACAGGCCTTGAACCAACTTCTGGAGGATGGTCTTCTCTACCAATCCCTTGTACTTGTTGTTCTTCATGAATAACTGAATCATTTTCCTCTGTGCTCTCCATGACTCCGAATCGGAATTGAGAATCCCATCTCCTAGAGGCTCAAAAATCTTCTTGTAAACAGGTCCCTTCGGATAGTTTGCGAAGTTGTCGCTCAAGATGTGGTGCACATTCCTAGGATCGCTAGTGATCACGAAGTCCATGTTGGCAAACCAAGGACCCTTGAACTTTGAAGTTCCTCCATTATTTCTCAGTGCTTGCGTGGTGTACTCATACACGTTTGATGAATTGATAAGGAGCCGTGGTAGCATCCCTACTACTGGCCAGTTTGCTTTATCTGCGTCTAGCTTCCTAATCTGATCCCAGCAACGAAGCAAGAGAAAACAAACAAGTACTCCTACAACTGCAAGTATGTCGAATATTTCCATTGCTGTCGATTTTGGTTTCTCTCTCTCTCCAATTTTTAGCCTTTGCACTCAGCAGGCTGGGTTTTATAGTACAATGTGCACGGTGAGACGGCCGGTTAACATATGGCCATTGGCGGGTATCAGAGCCCTTTCTCCCTCAACCATCTTATTTCCTCCATCTAATTAAATAGCTATTACTGGCCTTATACCTCCCTCAGCCTACGAGTAAGATTTAAATTAATTTTTAAAGAATTGTACTTTAAATAGGTTTTTACTGGATTATATGCCGAGAGCTACTGTGAATTTATAAAATAAATATATTTGATGATATTATAATATTGAATAAATATTAAAAAGAATTGAAAAAAATTATTTTGAAAAAAATCATAACAAAAAAAATATAAAAAAACCATGTAGAAAAATACTATAGCAATTTACAGTATTTTGTGGGAAAAGTTACAGTAATTACCCCACATAATTTAGCCTTATTTATAATCAATTATAATTATAATTTTTAATCAACTTAATATTAAAAAACATAAAATTGATAAAGATAATTTTAAAAAAATATATAAAAAAACAAAAAAACCTTGTGGAGAAAATATTGTAGTAATCCACGGTAATTTGTGAGGAAAGTAATAATGTTATTCCCATATATTGTAATTCTCAACCAGCTTAATATTAAAAAATAAAATTAATAAAGATAATTTTAAAAACAATCATAAAAAACAAAAAAAACCATGCGTAGGAACATTATAGTAATCCATAATATTTTAAAGAAAAAAATTATAAAACTAAATTCTCAACCAATTCCATATTAAAAAAAATAAAATTAACAAATACAATTTTAAACAAAATTAAAAAACACAAAACAATTATATAGAAAAATATTGTAGTAATTCATAGTATTTTATGAGAAAAGCTATAGCTATAATTCTCAACTAACTTAATATTAAAAAAAAAAACATTTAAAAAAAATCATTAAAAGAACTATATGAAAAAATATTATAGCAATTTATAGTGTTTGAAATAAAAAAAATTATAAAACTAAATTCTTAACCAACTTAATATTAAAAAAAATAAAATTGACAGACAATTTTGTGAAAAAAATGAGGAAAAAATACAAAACCAAAAAGCAAAAAAATAAAATTGAAAAATAATTTTGAAAAAAATCATAACAAAAAAAATATATAGAGAAATAATGTAGGAATTCATAGTATTTTAAAAAACAAATTACAAAGTTCAATTATAAACAATTCAATATTAACAAAATAAAATCAAAAAATATAATTTTATTAAAAAAATAGAAAAAAAAACATTGTAACAATTCACAATAACATGTGACAAAAATTACAGTATTTTTCTACATGTTTTAGAGTATTACTTAATGTATCATAACTTATTTAATTAGAAAACAAGAATATTGAGGTTATGTTTCATTAAATAAATACACTTGTACACAATTAAAGTTAATCTTTTAAGTAAAAACACATGCAAATATTTTATATTGATTATTTTTTTATTTTGAATATTTTTTTTATTTTTTTTGGAGACTAATTATCACTACTGATAATAAATTATTTTTATTTTTATAAATACTTTATAAAAATACAATTAAAATATATAAAATACAAGAGGAAAAATATATGAATTTATATAATCTCTTTGATGCACTATGAAATTCAACAAACTAAGTAGTAAGATCAATTTCTATTTAAATACAAAGTTAAACCAAATATTTATAAAATAAAAGAGATAACATTAATGAATATTTAAATATAAGAAATTAATGTAAGGAAAAAAAAAAAAAGACAAGCCCAAATGCCTGAACAACTATAATAACAGGGTTTTTTTTTTTTTTTTTCGTGTGTGTAAAGATACTAGCTTGGAGAGGTCATATGTGTTGTGTGATATTTGCTTGGCCTTTTTGAAGCGCAAAGAATTCTTTGTCATGCAAATGCTGATCTTATCAAAAGCATGGATTGGAGGAGTACACGCAGGGTCACCAGTCCTTCCCCACCCCCTGCTTTTTCCCTTCCTTTTCTTTCTTGAGTTGGGCTTGATATGGATCCTAATTCTAGACATTTTAGCTTGCTCATCAAGCCGAAGTCCATATTTTACAAGAAAAATATGCACAGCTTGAGTTTTGAGGCATGCAATGATAACAAATAAAACAAATTAAAAAAAATAATCAAAATAATCCAAGAAAAAATATTTAAAAAAAAAATAAAAAAAATGATGTAGCTTGATTTTCATTCTATTAAATACAAAATGGTGAAATTGAGTAACAAAAAAGGAGCAGAAAAAACCAGCTTGACTAAACCTGAATTAGCTTCACAAACCTATAACCTTGGTAATAAGGGTCAAGTGATCTGCTAAATTCACTATTTAGTTATGAGTTTAGGATAACATGGTAGAAAAAAATGAAGAAAATATCAAAGTCTCTTTAAAAAAAATTATTGAAAGATGAAAATAAAAAAGAACATATGTAAAAAAAATCAACCCATGTCAATTTTTCAAACCCGAGACCTGGGGTCATTAGATTGGAAGCAACCCATCAAGAAAAACCAAGAAATCTAATTTCCAACCAGTCAAATGTGGAATGAGAAAATTAAAAAAAATAATTTCATTTATACAAAAGGATTCAAAACAAAAAATAACAATTAAATGAACGGGGATCAAAATGAAAATAAAAAAATAATTTTGATTTTTTGATGTAATGATGTAATTGAAAAGAAAAATCAAATTAACAAAAGAACCCTAAAGAAAAAATACAATAAAAAATAAAGATCAAAATTAAAATAAAAAATAATTTTTTTTATTGGAAGGTACAATTGAAAAGAAAATTTAATTTAACAAAAGAACCTAGAAAAAATAATAATTAAAAGAATAAGGACAATAATAGAATAAATAACATATCATATATTTGGAATTGAAATATATAATTGAAAAGAAATTAAAATCTTATAAAAATACTAAGAATGAAAAAAAATAGGAATTACAATTAAAATCTTAAAATATTAGAGAACAACTCTAAAAGTTTGCATCGACTATGTGATTTTTGAGAAGAGGATAGAGAAAAGTAAATGGAATAAAAAAGGTTGTTAATGATGAATAACACCACCTTTAACCATACATATCGTCTCATAAGAAAAAGAATGTGATAACGCATCTAATAATACAATGAAAGATGGTTTTCGGTGCATTCCAAGGCTTTGTCTAGTGGTGGAAGGGGTTTGTCTCCTTCCACTACACCTGGGTTCGAGCCCTGGTTTGCACGCCTGTCACCCCCGCGGTATCTTACATGCCTACTGGGTTTGCAGGGTGTTTAGTGAGTCATGGGAACTGCACCTGGGTTCGAGCCCTGGCGTGCACGCCTGTCACCCCCGCGATATCTTACATGCCTACTGGGTTTGCAGGGTGTTTAGTGAGTCATGGGAACTGCACCTGGGTTCGAGCCCTGGCGTGCACGCCTGTCACCCCCGCGATATCTTACATGCCTACTGGGTTTGCAGGGTGTTTAGTGAGTCATGAGAATTAGTCGTGGTGCGCGCAAGCTGGTCCGGACACCCCATTCACTTGTTGGCATACTTCACTTTACGGTAACTAAAAAATTTGTGTGAAAAAACTAAAGTACCCTTAGACGGTAGTTTCAAAATTTTTATTTTAAAGATAATTTGATTGTTTTAATATGAGATTTTGCAGGAGACCATCCTGCTCACCCCAAGAGAGAACTCTTCTTGTTCACGTGACCTTTAATACAAAATATAAAAGCGGTGAAATTTAAAAGCATTATTTTCACAACCAAAGTTATGGACGGAAAGTAATGTTCTTGTTATTTTTTTATACTAGCAAGACACTAGACATTTTAAATATCGTACAAGTGTCTGCTAAGAATTAGAAACCAGCTCAAATGATGGGAAGTCCTGTACCATTACCAACCGGCAGTTGATAATTCCCAGAGTAAGGTTTTGAATGATGCAGGCAGACCAGATCCGAAGTGATATGGAGTGATGTTCCTGCAGTCAGAGAAGGAACTCCGATCTGCATTTGTTAATAATGGCTTCAGAGCTACGTTGGCCACGGGCTGTGCCTGCTTGCGGAGCTCAGAAGAGATACACTAACCTTGTTTTTATTTATTTCTGATTTGTTTTGCCTTGAGGAAGAATGTGTGAACAGAAACCAGCACTTGATAATCATTAATGCACTCAAATATAATGTACAAAACACCTCACCACATGCTTTAAGATACTTACAATGATTGAATCATGCTTTTGATTATACAAATAACACTCCTATCAGTCTCTTCCCCACAAATTGTCAGCTGTTACAGAAGTTGAGATGGTCGCAATCCCTTACGAAGACTCGAGCAATTAATTGCAATGATCATTTGCAAATTAACAAACAGATGGATAATTGGACAAACCAGTAATAATGTTTTCCTGGCTACGATCCGGAATGCAATCTCTTTGAGAGAGGGCGAGATTATGCAGTATGATCACATACACTACAGGTAACAAGAAATTTACTCAAAAGTGCGAATCAAACCATGTGCAAAATCAGTATCCCCATAAGAAAAAAGAAGCCCTGTGTTCGTATTAATCATAACTTGATGTTCTCTTGCAACATATCGTCCCTTGTGGATGGTTCCATGGCATGGCATTCTCTACATGCCACCAAAAATGACCTGAAAAATCTCCTCCAGAGCCCAGACCTCTCTCTTTTCCCTTTCTTGACTTGTTTCTTGTTGCTGATCAACCCTTCTTTAACCAAAATCCCACCACTTTTCCTTCGTGAATCCTCACGTTTCAGAACTGCAGTTGGCACAGGCATGATATGTTGCCACCTTTGAGAAGATCCGTATAATTGTGCCATAACAACTTTACTAGCCAAGGGTGTTTTGGTACTAGTAATATTATTATACAATCTTCTCCTCTCTGAGTTGTCACTTGAGCTTGTTCTTGCGCTGCTAACACTGCTTCTACTACTATTAGTACTATTACTTCTTGATGACAGGAGGGAATCCTTGCAGCTAACACTGCTTGCTCTGCTAGTTGCACGATATATGTTATCAATAAGTAGCATAGTTGTTGGTTGTTGTTGTCGAAGTACAGGAAAAGAATGAGGCAACAGGCGGCCATTGAAAAAAATATGATCAGCTGGTGAGTTCTTGTTCGGATCACAAGAGGGAGAATCCGGCGTTAAACTACCGAATTCGAAATCAGAATCTTGATCTAGAGTACCTGGAGTGCTAGGAAATGAGAAGATGAACTCTCTAGAGCTAGTCTTTTGGTGGTGGTTTTCTTCCATAGCGGTGCTTGTGGGAGTACTCTTGTGTGAGGTTGTACTTATATCCCCAAGGTACTCATAATATATAACGTGGAATTGTATATCATATAAAAAATAACGAGAAAGAGATGGGAATGTGCTATGCATCCATTAAGAGTAATTAATAGCATTATATTAATTACTCTATTAATTTTATTTAAAAAGGGGTAGATCGATATATAAAAAAAGCGAGGGAAAACACATGAGAAGGTATTTTATCATTTTTTTTTGTGGTATTCTCTTCCCTTCGTGTATCTATTTCTTTCTTAAAAATAAGTTTAATAAAAAAATTAATAAGATACCATTAATTATTCCCGTGCTTTATAAGATTTTCCATCAAATAAAAGAAGATTTTGATAATTTATTAGCTTGGTGGACAAAATCATGAGTTGATTACATGCCAACTCAATATTAAATTAACTTATACATGGTGGTGTTCTAATAATTTTGTTAGTGTGGGATGTTTCTTAGACATGTGTGTTAAATGATTGGGATAACACAATTTAAAGGCTAACTTTGATGCCAAATGCATGAATTTAACACACGCAATGGTTTTCAACGGTGTGTTCATGCTACGAAATATAGAGCTCTCCCCTTAATTTTGATCATCATCATCATCATCATTATATATAGGTTAAGTTGAAAATAAGTAGATCCCTAAGCTTGTTTAGTTCAAAGGGTTTTTCCCTTCGGTCTCGCTTTTGTTTTTCTTTAAGGAACACAGCTTCCCAAATATACTCTTGCATGTAAAGCAAGGAAGAATAACTTTACTAGATACGGAGAGAAAGAGTGGATGGTCAAGCAACACAAGCACCAATAGCTTATTGTTATGTTCGAGCTTTAACTAGGCCATGCTATGATGGGATCGGCAAAGGCTTTCTCGGTGTTGGTGGAAGCAAAGGCTCTCTGTGGACCTGGCCATGCTATGATGGGATCGGCAAAGGCTCTCTGTGGACCACCTCTCTCGATGAAATAAATCTGCAAGTGTATTGACTAGCAATCCACTGCTTTATTCATTAATTATCAGGGTTACTTTTGATCACCCTCCTCAAAATGAGGACAGAGCAGCTTTCAGAAAACCTATTTGTCTCCCATTAGGGTTTCTACCGAAACCTTTTGGCCCCATGGCAGCTCATCATGCCCCCGGGAACCACCGGTCACCCAGATTTCCCTCCCCACCAATCAAGTTTTATATTAAGCTTCCTTGGTTGATACTCGGATTGTGTCATAAGATATCTCTACTCTACACTAATATTTAAGAGCTGGGCCAAATTAGTTTGACTCGGGAAGGAATTTTGACCTGAAATTCTATGGTATTTTAATTTTGCTTCACTTTATAATGTCTAAACCGACCAGATTTAAACCGATTCGCAAACATATATATAATAAGTATTTACATGAAGATAATTCAAGATATATATGGTAAAGAAATCAAGATACGATTCGCAAACATATATATAATAAGAGCGATGAAGATATATTTGGGTTTTAGTATTTACATGTAATCTTTTTATATTATAAACAGTTTTTGATGAAATAACCAAAAAAAGAAAAAGAGAGGCTTATCTTCTCCGTTTTCCTCCTCTCCAGCTCCTCTTCATCTTCCCTCTTCTTTCCCTCCTTTTCTCTCTTTAACTCTCTCTTGTTCGTGGCAGAATCTAACTGAATCAATCCTTCTCCAAGAAACAAAAAGTCTGTAGCAAGCCCTAACAAGATTCCGTCTCCAAGTAAAACTGTGTATGGGTCATAAAAGAACATTGAGCTTAGAAGATGGGACCGATTCAAGTGTTGGAGTAAACAGCATGGTAAATTGGGCTGCCGGTAACTTAGAAGATGGGGTTTGGGCCCTTTGAACTTGGTTTGGACAGAGGTCGGAGTAATAGTTAATTGTCAAGTGCCTGATCTCTCTACCTTCCACGGAGAAAAGGTCAGATTGTTTTGTTCCATGGGCCTTGTATTACGGGTCTCAGAATTTATAGCCCATTCTCCCGAGCCTGAACCCCCCACCCCCAATAGCCCATTCTCCCGAGCCTGAACCCCCCCACCCCCAAATGAGGTGCGGATCACAGGTCAAAATATTTTTTTTCCCGTAAAAACAAATGTTTGTTAGTTAAAAATATGTTTTTAAAAAGAAAAAAATCTGTAATTTAGATTAAATAAGTTAATTTTATTTTAATTAAATGAAAAAAAAAAAAACAACAACATCAAATGGATGTAGCATGTAGACCTTATAAAAAGATCTAAATACTCTTAATAACCAGTTTTAAATTTTTTAATGGGAAAAGAAAATCCATAAAATTATTATTCTAGTAAACAATATTTTCATTATGTTACACTAAACATCCCTCTTGAATAATATTTTTGAATCAATTCATACATCAAAAAAATTAATTTTCTCTCTAAGTGATAATTAGAAGGCACTTTAGCATGTTGATATAATGTCTTAAAAAAATTAAAAAAATTCTTTTAAATTCTAACTTTAAAACTCAAAACTAAGATTTTAAAAAAGTAAACAAATTTGTTTGATGACAAGTCAATCTTTCCGAGTTTGCCTAATTTATAGAGTGACTATCTCATGGAGACTTCACATGCAAAAAAAAATAAAAATAAAAAGAATTGCTATTTGCCACTGGATTTGGTTGACTAGTACGTGGATGAAGCAAATCACCGGTGTCCCGTCATTTTCAACACGTTAATAATTCATGCACCTGCTCTAAAAGCAAAGGAAAAAACCTAAAATAAATAAATAAAAGTCTTCGAGTGTACTTTTCTTTCCGGAGAAGAACAAGTAACGAGCCCTTCTTCTTGAGCAAATTAGGAAAACCCCCCCTCAAAAAAGGCATAATTTATTGTGAGTGAGGTGTTTTGGGCAAGAATTCTGTTGAATTCTGCAAGCCAGCACACGGATTCTACACCACCGCCTGCGCGGTGACTCGGTCAAGACCCCGAATGCAAGGTATTTTGGTGCCAAAAAGTCCACGGCGATCTTTCAGCAAAAGCATCCTAGAACCCACCTTGTTCGTTTTTACCGATCGACGAGTATGGGTAACTTTGAGAGATGATGTGCCTCTGCACAGCTAAATGAAGACCTAGAATTGGGGGATAGTGAACCTCCAAAACAATGTGGGAGACCTTTCAATGGTTTATATATATATATATATATATATATATGAGCAAGGAAGGCAGTGAGGAAGATTGGAAATGTATAAAGAAGGTGAAGATGAATAAAAATCCCCTAACCCTAGATCTTTTTATTCCTTGTATGGGCAGAGGACTTTGCACGGGGAGAAGGGAAGTTCAGGAAAATTTGTTTAAAAATATGGTTAATAGATATTTTTGAAGCTAGATTAAGAGTGTTGTTCACTTGTGGTTAAAATTTTATTAGAATTTAATCTTTAATATAAATATTTAATATAAATATGGTTAATAGATATTTTTGAAGCTAAATTAAGAGTGTGGTTCACTTGTTTTTAGGGTTAAAATTTTATTAGAATTTAATCTTTAATATAAATATTTAATATGAAATATTAACATGGTTTAAATAAATTATAAATACATAAAAAATTAATCTCAAATAACCATTTAGTAAAATCTTAATATCCGTTATAATAACTTTATCCCACATGAGAGACATTTTTAGTGTTTATATAATGGCATTATAACAACTCTATCCCGTACGAGAGACTTTTTTTGGTGTTTAAATACTACTCATTTGAGAAGTTGAAATTGGGTTTAAAAAGTAATCAAGATTTTAAAGGAGAAATGTTCTACACAAAATAGATTTTGAGCTTCAACCAACACATGACTTGACTTATATTTAAATTATATTTGAATTTAAATTTATTATAAAATACTTTTTTTAACTATAAAATATTATATTTTACCAACTTAAATTTAGATTTGTGTCTGGTTCAAAAAAATTATTTATTCCATGCCAATGTTTTGTCTAGTCAAATTCATGTTTTGTCCATCCAAACTCGTGATTAAAGAAGTTGATCAACTTATTCTAGAAGTAATTTACAAACTTGAAAAGCTTTTTTAGTTCAAAAACTTCATATTTATGTTCAAAATATTCAGGTTTAATTCTAGTGTTTTGATAAATAATTAAATTTGATAGTTATAAGAATTAATTCTAGTTATTACCATAAATAATTCTGGTTTTATAGAGGATTATTAAAGTTGGTAATGACAATGATTAATTCTAGTTATTATCATAATTAATTATTTATCTTTTTAACTATTAAAATTCACGATATAAAGATGTAAGAAAGAGTTTTGATGTAGGAGATTTTTGTTTTTTGTTAAGCATAATTTTTAAATTGACAATTATATTAGATTGAAAATCTCCTAAAAAATTTTAAAAGTTCTATTCTCTATATGGTTAAAAATCTAGAGAAAGTGAACATTAAAAAGACTTTCAAATAAGTCTCATAAGTCATTATTTGGGATTTGATATATTTTGATAATTGATCTAAAATTATTTAAATTATTTAGATTAGAACTCTCAACTTTATTTATACATATTTTCCTAGCTTGACTAAGATTTTTATTATTTTTTATTACTAGTTTTGTGTTTTCTTGTTCGTTTAGGTAACTTTTTAGGTTTATTTAAAAATTAAGAATCTTCTAGAGAATATACTGTCTCAATATAAAATATTTAGAAATAAAATTCTAAAATAAGGTTTTTGTGTTATTTTTTTTTTCATTATAATAATATGTTTTTATACTTGTTATTCTTTTTATATTGTTTCTATCTATATATCAGAGTTTAACTATCTCAAGTTATTGCTTGTTGTTTAGTGTATTTTTTAGTGTTACTAAATAACTATAGCTAATAGAGGTCACTAAAAAGTAGACCATCTTCATGTAAGAGGGGAGACGAGGAGGTGTCCTATTTATAGAAAAATATTTAAGAGTTGATGATAGAAAATATACAAAGGATAGATTGTGAAATTGAAAAGAGATGTTCAAAAACTGGTATTCAAGAATTAATGATAAATGACATGCAAAGATAAATTAAAAAAATAAAATTGTTAGTTTGTAGGGGTGAGGAGCACTAGGGATTGTGTAACTTGTGATTATGGATCCATAACTAGTTTTTAAAATGTATTTTAGAAACATGAAAAAATAAGATAAATTCTTGATTAAGATGACTAGATTTTACTATGGGTGAGGCTACTTTACTCATGTTGATTGTTAATATTTTTTTAACTTTATCATCCAATATTGATTATTTAAGAATTGAATTTATTTAATTTATTTTTTTATAAGTGATCATGATTTCTTGATTTAAATAATTAATTTTACAGTTTAATAAGGATTGTCGAATTTAATTTAATATATTATTATTATGATATTATTTATAAAAAATATTATTTAATATTTTATTGTATTGAAAAAAGTTTTTGTTTCATGCGGATTAGATTTTTATTTCAATACTAAATTATTTTTTTGCAAAAAATATTAAAAACGCTTTTAATTTTTATTTTTACATGCCGCTGTACAAGATAGAAATATTTTTTTTAACTCTTGACAGTCCAAAACATATTCACTCGAATTTTCATGTAAAGGTAAAATGAGTCTAATCAAACAAACGATCTAAACCCAGCCAATCCTGTTTCCAATCAAGGGGAGGTCCAAACTCCAACGTCCGCGTGGAACCACCCAATTGGTTCAAACACCTCGTTCATTGAACCAACGTTAATTTGCGGACGAAGTTTGTGTGGCGTGTATGAGACTGAGATAGTAGTAGATATAGTTTTAAGTGTTTTTTATTTAAAAATATATTAAAATAATATATTTTTATTTTTTTAAAAAATTATTTTTATACTAATAGATTAAAATAATTTAAAAATATAAAAAATTAATTTTAAATAAAAATATTTTCAAATGCTTGCGTTTCTAAGCCACGCCGTTAATAATTTTATCGGCTGTAGGAAAGGAAAATAAAGAGAGAGACAACAGTCAAGTGGCGCGAAGACCACGTCACAAGTAAATGCAAGAAACGCGGACAATAAAACTGGGAAGTGAAATTACCGTCGTCAACAGTTGCTGGATCCTCATCAACACTCGCCTTAATCTCACCCTTTTTTTCTCTTCACTTTCTTGATTTTCTAAATCACAATCATCTTCTCTTCCTATATATTATCTCCACCTGCTTACACTAGCAGCTAGCCATGATTGGCAAAGAAATCCTACACAAGATGAAGGTATGTATGGATGTATATCCTCTGTAGTGAACAAGTTATTGATCTGAGATCTTCAATACATCAACCATTATACATGTGTCTACTGCTTTCCCTGTCTTTTCTTTTTTTTATGGCCTTGAATTCATGAGTTTTTTCTTGCTTGGTCTACATGTGTTGGAGACTTCATAAATGTGCTTTTTTGATTTATAATTAAAGACATGATTTTTTGATTTATTTGTTTGGAGTGATATGGATCAGATGGGGTTAGAGATAATGCTTATTCTGTGTTCATAATAAGTCTTAACACCATTCCAGTTCTGGATTTTACGGGGGTAATCTTGAGATCATTAAAGCCAGTTGCTAATTATTTGTTACGGTAGCTAATTTGACATTAACAATCACAATTTGCATTCAGAGATAAGGAATTGTTGAACGAATTATGTAATATCAATGTGGAGCGCGTGCTGAGATATAATGTCAATGAGATGGGCTCTTACAATGTGTTTTAGTCGGAAGGAACCAAGAACATGGCAGTTATTATTTTACTTTACAATTGCTATCTTTAACCAAGTTGCTATAATTTCTGTTTGGGAGGAAGACATCACGTTCGAAGAAGAATTGTAAGACTCTTTTGTTTCAAACAATTATAATTACACAACTATGGAAGTATTTTTAATTAATATGTTTTTGTGGTTTGTTCAGCTCGTTGACATTGATTACACATGCATTTTTCAATGGATTACTAGCCGTGTGACTTACCTAAAAGTTTGAATGCACATATTGCAGGAAAAGGTTGGATTAGGTTCTTCTCCAGATTCTGGGAAGGGCAAGAGTAAGATTTCGAAGCGCATAACACATGGCTTTCACTTAGTAAAGGGGAAATCACATCATGACATGGAAGATTATGTTGTTGCTCAATTTAAGGAAGTCGATGACAATGAACTTGGTTTATTTGCAATATTTGATGGTCATCTCAGCCATGTTATTCCTGATTATTTGCGGTCTCATTTGTTTGACAATATCTTAAAGGAGGTAAGGCATTCTTTCTGTGTATTGTACGTCATTATTGAAGCATCATTTTGAGAGCTACTTTGTAGGTTTAAATTTTTTACTATGGTTATGGGATAGGATTCTGGGGTTGGTTGCTTAATGGCCTCTCATTTTTAAGTGGAGCTGGGAATTGATATTCCAACTTCTATGATGGACTAAATATGCTTGCTATTTCCCCTTCTTAGATTGTCCGTTCTGCTTGTAGTTTTCTGTACTGGCTGGATTTGATGAAAATAAATGTCTATTTCTTGCTTGAATATTTCCTTCATGCAGCCAGACTTTTGGACACAGCCAAAAAATGCTATGAGGAGAGCATATTGTATTACTGATACTACAATTTTGGAGAAAGCCGGTGATTTGGGTAAAGGAGGTTCAACGGCTGTCACGGCTATACTAATTAACTGTCAGAAGCTGGTAGTAGCAAATGTAGGTGACTCACGAGCTGTTATCTGCAAGAATGGTGTTGCCAAACAACTCTCAGTTGATCATGAGCCAAGCATGGAAAGGGAGGAAATCGAGCACAGAGGTGGCTTTGTGTCAAACTTTCCAGGTAAGAGCTTTGCTGAGTTTCAAGAACTATGTTGTTCTACAATGTTTGGACTCTACATAAATATGATTATGATTGTGCTGTGAGAAATGGAGCATCGGAAATTAGATTGTTAGGACATTACTGCTTTTAATGCCTTTACGTTTTGAGGCTTGCAAGTGCATGCTGGAATTTTGAAAATGGATTGCATACTGTGCACTCTTTCACAGGGCAAGTGGATGCTTTAAATGATAGAATTTGCACCAAGTTATTGCACTGATTTGGTGTCCTGTGACCTGTTGATGAATAGACGTGGGTTATCTTTTTAAACTGATGGAACTGCACTTTTCTATCAACTAAGTTTGCACTTATTCCTCTTCATTTTCATCTGGTTTCAGACAGCTGTTGTGAATATGCAATCTGTTGCACTATGATCAGCCATGTGATTCTTCTTTGTTCCAATATCAATACCTTTAGATCAGACATGTGATTCTTCTTTGTTCCAGTATCAATACCTTTAGACTACCTCTCCTCCTTATAGAGATGTTTCAATAGTGTGTCACTATCAATATTAACTTTCCAACTTCATGAATTCAGGGGATGTCCCACGTGTTGATGGACAGTTGGCAGTGGCTAGGGCATTTGGTGACAAGAACTTGAAGGAACATCTGAGTTCAGAACCAGATGTTGCAATGGAGATGATTGATGATGATACAGATTGTATTATCTTAGCAAGTGACGGGCTTTGGAAGGTTTCTTTTACTTTGAACTTCCTACCTCTAATCTTTGTTAGAAGGATAAATTATTTTCCCTTTTTATGGACTAAAATCCGTTCCTCAATATGACGCCAGGTGATGTCCAACCAAGAAGCAGTGGACGCCATCAAGAACATAAAGGATGCGCTGTCTGCAGCAAAGCGGCTTACTGAAGAAGCACTTAATAGGAAGAGTTCGGACGACATTTCTTGTGTGGTCGTGAAATTTCAGTGAGCTCACTCCAGATTCCTCCTCTTGCTCATGTTTGATAAGAAACTCTCAGAGGTGTGTAATACTGTAATTAGCCCTGGTACATTAATAACTATCATGCATGTTTTCTGCTACATTAGTAGCTGGTTATCGTGTTCTGTTGCAAGTAGAATGAAGTAGACCTGCTTGGTATCATTGTGCCTATAATATATAGTTCAAGGGAGTAGGGATGTTTGAATGGTTTGGCAAACCGTCTCTTTGATGCCAGCCTCAGCCCTCAAAGGAGGGGCTGCCCCAACTACTGTGTCTAATGTTACCTTGCTACCAAATTATTATATTATTATTAACAAAAGAAGTTATAGTAGGGTGGTGTTTTACTGTAGATACATTGCAGAACAGACTCGTTTGCACTGTGGATTCGACATTATGTTATATTGTTCATCAGGGCCAAATGATATCGTTAACCACATCCTTTCTTAAATTTGATTTTTTGAAAACATATATTCGCTTTGGTCCTTAGGTTTCCAAGTTTTTCTTGCATGGTTCTTGCCCTTCATTTGTAATACATGCCGGTCCCTAGATGGAGAGAGAGAGAGAGAGAGAACCGGTGAGGGAGAAGGAAGGAGGGAGAAAACTCTGATGAGCTCCATTCAGGCCACGCAATTCAAAAATCTGCATGTCCATGTATTCTCGGAAATTTTTTTTAGTCTTTTGGGATTCGTATGTTTGTGGAAGTTAGTTTCTAGAGACGTGTTTTGAGGTTGTAATATGATTTTTAAATGGTTATTTTTTAGATTTTTCATGCAACTTAACAAGAAGATGATATATCATGATTTTGACCTTTATTTATATGTAAAAAATAATATCAAAATTAATTACTATTGTAAAAAATAATGATTTTTTTATAACCTTACAAGAAATAGGGATTAATTATCAATTTATTTTATTATAATAGAGGTTTGATAATTAATAACTAATTAATCTAGGGCTTCTAGTTTTAAAAACTTTTACAACGATAACAAAATTGATATAACATTGATGTTCTTACAGTAACGAAAATATTGCCCCTATTAGTACCAGTAGATGTTATGTCGACAATTCATTGTTTTTTCAGTTTATATTAGTTTTTGGTTAATAATACCTATCTTTAGATAATAATCATTGAAGTCGTTATTTGAATTCTGGATCTACGATCGACAATATAAAAAGTGACATAAAAATATTATATTTATGCTAAACCTCATAATATAAATATTATAAAGTAAATTATACGAAGATTTCATAGCATTTCAATATATTTGAAAATATTATATTTTTTAAAACTAATAAAAACAAATAACACTTCAAAAATTCTCATCAATAGATAAAATAATTTATAATATTTATTATATTGTTAAAATCCAAACTTATTTAAAATAGTGCAATAATAAAGTGTTTAAAATATTGAACAAAAAATAAAAGGAAAGTTTTGTGGTACAAGTAAGGCATACCAACTAAAACTAAAGAAGCAATAACACTTAATAAAGTTTACCTGCTAATAAAAATTAAGAACCTGAATAATATTAGAAAAAATAGAGGGATAAGTTCAACCAATTCAGTAAGGGAATAACATTTAAAGATAAATATACGTACTAAGAATATAATATGAAGTAGTGAAATACATATAAGAGACTAGGTGACTCTCGAAAATGACTAAATGACACTAGAAAATGACTACCATGGGAGGATCAGTTGCTATATGCTGACGACTCTTTCACCAGCTAGATATACAAATTATTATATGCACAGACTAACTATTCTCTATTAGTATGAACTTACTGACAAGTATATCAATATTAGAATATGATAGATACTCATATAATTATTAAAGTGATATATATCTTATCAAATATAATTTAGTTCAACAAAATAAAAGTGTAAATTCAAGAACAAGTGAGTACTTAGAAAATAAAGCAATATATATAAATATTCAAGAAATTAATTATTTGAGCTCATCCGATAATCAATATATATATATATATTTATTTATATTAGATGCACATTAAAGATTACTCCACTTACCTGAAAAAAAGAAAGACAAACGAATACAGAACCGAAGACTACTGAAGATCGTTGAGAGAAACATCAACAAAACCTATAAAGGATACGAAAAATATTTTAAAAAAAATCAAAGTAAAGTAACATTAAAGATTAAAAACTCTAAGTTTAAAGACCAAAATGTAAATATAAAACCAAATTGATTAACCCGATCGATCCCAAACTTAATCCAAACTGATCAAACCTAACATATCCAATAAAACTCTATTGTTGGTCAAACGATCAACTAAGATGACCAACCAGTTGACTACTATCACAAGCCAACTGGTTCAGACCAATCGGTCGACTAATATCAATCAGTCAATCGGTTAGCCAGTTCAGCCAATCGATCGATCGATTAATTAGAGTTTCTAAAATCCTGATTTGCAATTTTTAAATTTGTAGATTTTATAATAACATAATCTATTTTTCAACAACCTATAATTCCAACATCAAATCAGTTTCTTTAAGGCTAGCTAACATCCTAAAACATCAATTCAATCCTTTAAATTATTTTATTATCAAAATAATATAAAAAACCTCTAACACATTTTAAAATCTTCCACAATCAATCCTTAATTGAAAATAACAAAAAAGGAAAAAAAATTATTTGTTTCTTCTATCTTTCTTGAAATAAAATCTTAAATTCAAAATTGAAATCCTTGCAAACAGGAGTGGAAAGTTAGGGAAGAAAATAGGAAAAGAGAGAAAACAATGCTCTTAGCAATTTTTTATTTTTTTAAATATTTAAATTAGTTAGGTTGGGTTTAGATTAAATCTTGTGCTTAGGTTGTGCTAAGAATATGGATCTTACAATTGACATATAAAAAAAATGTGATTTCTTATTCTTTCGAATTAACATAAGAGTTTTGCTTGACTATATCATTTTTTTATATATAAAATTATAATTAGGTTTCAATCTATGAAAATTAATATTTAAAATTACATCAATACAAAAAAAAGAAAAAACTATCAAGTAGAAAATGAGAGTTTCTATTTTTTTAGTTATAGTTATGCACTAATTAAATGAAATTATGCATCATTTCAATATAGATTGCTCGATCATTCTTATGAACATTGATTTTTGTGTTCTTTTAATTATTGACTCTTTCAATTATATTGTTAAGTGTTATTAATAATTAATCACGTGATATCAAAACCATATCTATAAAATATATCTAAGCTCAAAAGTAAAAATACACATGATATTAAATTCTATAAAATGCATATTAAATTAAAATATTTTTAAAATTAATATTAATCAATTTTGATTTCACTCAACTACATTTTTAGAATTAACTGAAATATTAAAATAGACTTTATAAGGTTACCAGTCGAAACTACTAGTTAAGAAAAAACTAAAAGATCTTGGCAATATGTTGTTCATTCAACTATACACGAGTGCACACACAATTGCATTGCGAATTTACACAAGGTAACTTTCTTTGAAAATCATGTAGTTATTTTCACCTCAATTCGATCCTTTCATGTGGGTTTTATTCGAGATTGGTTTTAGTAGTTTGTTTTAATAAGTTCAATGTGGGTTTCTCATTGGATTAAAAAAAGCATCCAAATCATTGGAATAACACTTTGATTCAACAAAAAAATATTCATATTCTTTGTTTTTTTTAAAGGATTGAAACTAAAGTAAATTACAATTGAAAATTGTAAAGAAAAAAAATGTAGCCCTCTTTGTTTTTGAAGGGAAGAAAAGAAGAAATCAAACATGAGAATTAAGAAGAGGAAAAAGGAAAAGAAAGCAAAGATGAATGAGTTAACAGAATTACATTAGAGCTTCTTAGTCACCGCATACTATGGTAAAAGTATGTCCTTATCAAGACGATTCTAACAATACTACAAAAAACCATCATCAAAGCTCGAAGGAAGCTATGTGGGCCTCTCTAATGTGGTGGCTTTCCTCACACGGAAACTCTTTACCATCTCCTAACAGAATTACATTAGAGCTTCTTAGTCATCGCATACTGTGATAAAAGTATGTCCTTCTTATTAAGACGATTCTAACAATACTACAAAAAACCATCATCAAAGCTCGAAGGAAGCTATGTGGGCCTCTCTAATGTGGTGGCTTTCCTCACACGCTAGTATACTGGAAACTCTTTACCATCTCTATTTAATTTAGTCTTTAATTCTCTAATAATTCTTTAATTCAGTCTTGACTTCAACCTATTGAATTGGATGAAGGCTCAACTAGGGAGACAAAACAAAAGGAAAAGGAAAAAGATAAAACGTCTAACCAAATTAGCTTATTATGATCATGTTCATAATCCAAGTCATGAATTTTACGAGTTAACCTGAATTGATCAGGGTCGATCCATTGTTTCCATCTTAATGTTAAAAAATATAAATTTGAATTTTTTTTAAAGTCAAACTACGTTTTTACTATTCATCTAGGTTAATTTCAAACATTATAAGTTGTATGTTAGTTAAACTCCCACACAATTTATTTAAAGCTTGATTTAGACAAGGAGTTGGGTCAATAAATTTAAGATCTACTTACTAGATCATGTTTAATGATATTGTCAAAAAGTTTTTCATGATCTGAATATCTTTTTTATGTTCATATAATGTCCCAACTTAATTTTTTTTAAAAGCTTGAATAATATTATCTTAAATTTTTTTATTAAATCAGCTTTTGATTGAGTCAACTTGATATGTTATGAATTTATACCTATATTTTTTTAAAAAATATATGCTTATAAGAATTTATTGACACCTCAAGATATGTTATGAATTTATATCTATGCTATATATTTTTTTAAAACATGTATGCTTATGAGAATTTATTGACACCTCAACTCCATATCTGTAGCGGAGCTTTGGCAACAAATCTAGCAAATATACTCAAACAAAATATAGGTTTATTGTTGCTAAACTACAGTGAGATTACTTTTCTTGTCTTAGAAAAAATTAAGACGTAGCTTCCCAAACAATATAAGTTGGTTTTTTTAAAAAATTATTAACTTTAATTAATGTGATTTCATCCCCGTGTCTAAAGTAATTGACTTGAAGAATACAAGTCAAAATAACATAGTTTTTATAAAAAAAAATTAAAATAGTTTTTGTAATTGAATTCACTTAATCCTTGGAATTATAATCTATGTGATTTGGTCTTTTTGTTTACACAAAAGAGCGGGTATTTTTATGCATTTGTTTTTTTTTTTTGTTATAAGTAAAAATTCTTAAAAATTAAGACTATTATAAATATAGATATATGTCTAAAATATTTATGTTATTACACTTATCAAAAGACTACTGTAACTTTTTATATAGAAAAAACTAGGAAAC